GTAGCTGAAAAAGATAGTACATAGTACCACTACTCGCCACTAGATGTCGTTAAGTGTCACAATACACAATAATAATTGAAATGCAAAAAAAGCGTAAGTTTGCTTAGGTCACGCACTTTGCGACTATCCTAGTATAGGAATATAGTTAAGGGCAGAAATTGGCCCTTGGAACAAACTGAAAATATCATTATGGCCCGAAGGCTTCATAGTTTGGAGACCCCTGCTCTAATATATTACCTACTTGTGTGAATGAATCCACCTGAAAAGGTCAGGTATGAATTCATTAACAATATGAATAAATTGAATTTTTCGAAAGTACCGTAAATATACTCAACTTTTCTTGCCTTACTTTCGTGTTGCGTGTTTCATTCACATCATTTTTTGTATTTATTTTTCAATAATGATATAAAATCAACGAACTGGATGCCATACACTCTGTCAAACTTTTGGGTCATTCTCTAGTGTCTCTTGGATTTTCATGTCGTGGCAATATCAAATCCTACTGACTGAGCACTTTATCCTTCCATTATTAAGCTCGCCACTTTTTATCGGTACTAAATCGCAGGAACAATTTTGTGCGGGCATTTTCTCCTTATCTACGAAACGTATTTTAGCGTGTGACGGTTAAATCAGAGGGTCGACATTTAATAACTGAAGGAGGCCGTCTTGAGACACAGGGTGTTCGTCGATAGAGTTCAGGACAGAAAAATATTTTTTTAACGAGCTTTTATTAGCTTCACTTGTATGTTTGTTTGTAACCGACTCCTTTGGATTCGATTTTGACTAACTTTAAACGAAAAGATGTATTTTAAACAAACAATCCTCTTGTTGTCCTAACGAGTATCTAGTGGACTTCAAAGACTCCAGGAAATCGGTTGGAGGGAAAGATGATACCTTCTTACGAAACTGCAGCTGCATGAACAGTTGTTTGAGTTTGATGAATAAGCAGGAAACATTCTCGTTCATCATTAAAACTTCGTTCTTGAAATTCTTCGTCATGAAGAATTTCATTGAATTGTTTGGTATTTCATTATTTTGTAAAAATTTGTAACTTCAGGTAATTGACTTAATTATTTAATCATGAATGAATGAAATTATTAATACTATTGATAATACAGGTACTCCCTATTCACAATAATCTTATATTTCTTGGGATAATGAAGACAATGCCATTGCCATGGGATGGTCGGAGAGTATGATATTATCAGAATAAAGAATATTCGTAGGTAGTCAAATTTCTGTTTGTGGAAATGATGATTATTTAGATGCCAGTTTCAGATTGATGGACTTCTACATTATACAATATTACCACTTTGAAGAATAAATAATCGTAAGCGTAGAATGGCTAGTTTTGCTCCCTATTCCCCTCTATTCAGTATTCACTATCAGTTCCATAATACTTTATCCACCATGTCAGTGAAACTGTCTACATAGGCAATATTCGATGATTTGATTATCAGAGTCTATAGAAGGTGGCGGATAATATTGGTAATTTTGATATTTCATTGGGAATACTTTGTTCTGAAAGTCTGACAAGGAAAAATGAAATATTCACATGGTTTGCCATGTGTAGACCATCAATGAATTGACCGTTTCAATGCACTTGGTTTTTGAAAATTTGTGTTTGCTTCATTTGTAGAGATGTCACATTATATTTGGTTCACAAGTGAAGAAATGTTCATTGAGTATGGATTTTTATGTGGTACATTCATATTTCCATTCTATACGTGTTCAAAATATTCTTTATTCTGTTCTTGTGCTAAGAGGTGGTGCTATTTACAAAACTACTTCTACGCTCTTTAATTATTTGGGGAAATGTTCTCCCTGTTTGGGAAAGTCACAGTCTTCATGAGGAAAGTCAAACCAAGTAGACTTGGTCCTTGGCTTGCTTCTGTAGTTTTATTGAAAAGAATGGAGTCGATAATATCTACCTCATAACCGTTATTGACCGCGATTTGTTTAATCAAACTCAGCTCTCTTTGGAAATTACTCTTAGACAGTGAAATATTCAGTGGTATGTGAAACATACTATTGAATGCAGCTACATTATGCTGGTAAAGGTGTATGGAGGAACTATGTATGATAATATTTTTTCAAATGTGGGGACTGGTACATAACCACAGGTAATTCAATTGATTTGAAACTCATGTACATCAAGTGGTCAGGTAAAACTCAGGTATATATAGAATAGAGTGTAGCAAATGCTCTGCAATATATACAGGCCAAACCGGTAGAAACTTTGACGTTAGGATCCGTGAACACGTCTGTTTGGACAAAAATTCATAATGTTGGAAATCTTCTAGAAACAAAACACAAGATGAGTGGAGATAACCTCAAAATCCTACACATACCTGTGTAATAAAGAGAAGAAAATGAATTTGTTGGAAGCCATGGAAATCAACAAATCAAATTAAAACCTGAATTATATGCCCCTAAACGAGCAACTCGATTTATGTAGATCTCCACTCTTGAATTAATAAGTTTGGCAACCCCTAATCTTCAGTGTTGACTTTTATGGTTGGCACCATGGTTCATTCAACTACCTCTTCTTCTAGGTTACCTTAAAACTCCCGATATAACCGAGTTTTCAAATTTCACATTTCAGTTTTATACTTAATGATGGTGTTAAACCCGAAACCGGTCGTATAAATAAAATCACCTAGTGGTAATTAGACAAAAGTGTTTTTATTCATTTTATTAAAGTAATCATGAATTACCACGAAATAAACAAGTCATTAATCACACACACTAGCCATCTAGCCACTGATCAACCCTTAACTATCAATTACCTTAAGAGGGAATCCCTTTGTCATTCCGATGGCATACGTATCCTCGTTGATTGTTTCTCCGATCTTCTGTAATTTGCAGCCGTGATCGGTTGCCCGATAATAATCTAAAATCGGAGTGTCCGCTATCAAAATATCCAGTGTGCCATTTCTCAATTTCTCCACCCCTTCTTCGACGCTCTGTAAACTGTATGGAGCCATGTGTTGCCATAGGTACTGATTTGCTTTTTGTACGTAAAACTCTGCTGCTGACGATCGGGGAGCTCCCACTTTCTGACTCAGTAACTGAAAAATAATGAAAGAGATTAGAGCTGTTCGTCTAATTGAATGGAGAAAAAAGAATATCCCGAAAGGCAACTTAATTAGTTTTTGGTAACATGTACTGTACAATTCCATAATAGTAGGCACTTAGTTCTCAGAACTATTATGGCATTGAAATGAAAACATTGTTGTTGAGGTTGTGATTTTATATATTTCATCATCAGTTTTCGTCATCTTTTTTTCTAAGATTTTCGAAAATAGCTCCGATTGGGTGGCAGTTTCTTGTTGAGTGAGTAGGCAATGTGACACATTCGAACCTAACACAATTGATCAGTCACAGAACAGTTCGTTCTATATTTTGATTGATGGAGAGTTTCGTACTGTACAGGGTGTTTCAAATTCGATCCTCAACATTGGGATCTCGGAAACTATGAGAGATACGAAGGTGGTTGAATTGGGGCAAAGTTGTGCATTTACCTGACTAACAATATGCCGTTGAGAAAGTTGTGAAATTCCGAGTATATCTGGAGATATCCGGACAAAACCGAAAACTCGAAGAATGGTTTTTATTTTTTTCTAACTTCATTTTTCGAAGGATATATTTTCAAATAGAACTAGATTTCTACCTTTTCAATGATGTATCATAAGTTATCATTCTCTTTCGAAAGATTGGAGAACACCTGAATATGACAAAGCCCAAATATGACTTACACCCTGAAAATGATGTATCTACACCTCAATTATTACAAACACACCTACTACACTCACCCTAAATATGTCATTTACTTAAGTATAAATTTTATAAATGAGGTATGTATGAGGTAAGTTAGACATTGTGTCCCTTTCAATAAAAATTAATAATTTGAAGATAAATATGAACACGGGGAAATTTTGTCATACAACTGCTTGGAGACATCTCAAAAAACGCGACTTGAAGTGTTACAAGGCGATTAGCATTTTATTCATTTATATATTTATTTACGGCAATACCTATTTTTTCCAAAATAATTAACAAGTTCACACATATGTATTTATCAGTAATCTAAGCTAGGTTTAAGGAAAAATATATATAATAAAATGAAAATATCGTAAAAATAAGTTAATGAGTTACAATCTTCTCACAGTCTAATCAAATGTTTCCAAAGAAGAATTAAAAAATTCTAAATCTAAATGTATGTATTTGCAAGTCTCAAAATTCTACCTACAGATTCATTCCGGCCGTAGTTGGTGCGACAAAAGGTTACTTTGAAGATTTCCGAATTTCTTGTTTTTCTTGGATTCACTTTTGAAGTTATAAGTTCGACAAGTTCCGGAAATTGATGCTACCATTGATAATTTTATGAATTAGTGTAAGATCTGATTCTAATCTTCTGTGAACCAGAGTATTCAAGCTAAGAATGTCCAATATAATTTTATAGTCATATTCACCAATATGATATCCCAGTTTATATGCAGAGTACCTTAAAAAAACTTATTTTCAACACTTTGAAGCATATCAATATTCACATGATATGAAGGACACCAAATTGTGGAATAGTATTCGATTCTTGACCTGAAAATTTAACAATATATGATTTTTATTGAAGTAAGAGATAATTCATTTGCAGATCTAAGAATGACACCTAACATTTTTAGTTCTTTAGGAGTAATATTTGCAATATGGAGTTTAAATGTAATTGGCTAATAAGAAGATCTGATTTTCCTGTTTTCCTGGAAAATGTAATTTGGACAGATGAAAACACTTTTATGAATTGTGGGATATTCAACCAAAATAACGAACACATTTGGAGCATAAACAACCCAGGCAGAGTTCAAGATATTGGATCGAACAAGTTTAATTACATTTCCGATGTCCTGTTTCTACCGTATTTGTAATAAATTTGTATCATATATCTTTTTTCTTCATTCGTCATTTGCCAAAAATCCAATGACTTGTACAATAACAAAATGTCATTGAGTGTAACAATATGAAAGTCAAAATCAGAAACAATAAAGTCAAAGCCTATTATGATAAGAATTAATTTTGTTCAATATCTCCAATTTTTCGGAAAAAAAAACGTATGATACATCATTGAAAAGGTAAAATCTGGTTTTATTCAAAACAGATAAAATCCAATGTAGCGCCCTGAGAAAAAATAAAGTTGATGATGGTGGCCGGAATACGAAACGTCGAATGTGGGAATGGGACTCCTTTTCTATTTCTATAGACAAATAAACATATCTCAAAAATAAATATTCCAGTCAGAGTTAAAATGTTCAGATTTTTGAAAAGACCTCTGCAAGAGTGTTGTCTTGATTTTCCTGCTAAACACCTTACGATTCTTTTATGTGCAATAAATGTGTTCCTAGGATGTATGGAGTTGCCCCAGAAATGAGTCCCATATCTCAAACGAGATTCCACGTGTGCATGGTAGAAGTTCATTAATTGTTCATGAGTTAGAATAGTCATCAAATAATAGATTAAGTAATAGAATGAATAGATGTAACTGATTCGCAATGTGTTTTGAACTTAAGATTTTTGTCTAGTTCAATACCTAGGAATTTCACAGTATCACTGGTTACAATTTCTTGACTAGATAGTTCAATTTTGAAGTCCTCACTGTATTGTTGGGCTGTCTGAAATTTTACGATAGCTGTTTTGTCTGTACTGAATGATCATTCATTTGACCAAAACCACTTCATCAAAGATTCTAATATACAGGGTGATTCAAAAGTACTCTGACAAACTTCAGGAGGTGATTCCTCACAATATTCTAATATGAATTGTCCAAATAAATAAATGTCCGGAAACGCTTCGTTTCCAAGATACAGGATGTTGAAGTTTTATTTTCGTTTTTTCAAATAACTTTCGAAATACTGAACTTAACTAAACTAAACTTGGTAATTGGAGGTTTTTGAGGTGTCGAATTCGAACCTGATGTTCTTATTGCTCTTACTCGTAGGGGGCACCACCTACATGTCTTTTTCTTTTTTAAAGATTCATAACTTTTTTGGGCGAACTTCTAGCACATTTTTCAGTAAAAAAATCGATTCCTCCATCATATCTACGTACATAAGCTACCCTTGTTACAAGTCGCTGTAAGCAACCGTTTTCTAAATATTTGGACTTGAAAACTTCAAGTCGATTATTTAATAATCGATGCTTGTTGAAGTTATAACGAATATTTTGCATTTTTCACAAGAATGCTTTGGAAATAAATTTAACGTTTGTGAGTAGTTTTGGTGATTACATATTTTGTGACAGTTAGACGTTTTGTTGAAGTTTCCGTAAGTAGAAGTAGAAAACACTTATTTTGAAAAAATGGATTATTTAAACAATGATGCTCATTTATCCGATATGCATTTCGTTTATGGCCTTGCGGATGGCAATGCGCGCGAAGCAAGACGTATTTACCA